AAGGAACATTGTAAAAGGAATAAGCACATAATTTTATAGTTAAATTTAAATATTAAATCAATTAAATGTACATTTGTGCAAATATTAGACGCAAACCTTGTAAAACCTTTACGAAAGAGGTGAGGCAAAGAATAAAGAGTATGTTCTACTTATATCCTAATCCAGAACCTTATATTGCAATGCACACTCTGCTTATGTATTGTAAGTTATACCTTCCATGTTAAACTGGTAGTAAAATAACAACACAGGATACGTCAGCTATTCACTTTCCCGAGCAAATATGTAATATGATAACCACGCTGGAAATAAATATCATCATAAAGTTATTTACGTATTATTCTCTAGTTTTCACTTCAGAAAGTAGCTAATGTATTTATGAGTCACAAAAAAAACAAATACAGTAAAATACAGTGATTTTTTCATTTATTAGCTTTTATTTTAATAAATATAAATAATGTTTGTGTCAATATGTGGCCATAAATTGATAGGTATTTATTAAGAAATATCTTTGATAAAATTTCAATATTAATTAAAGCTCCATATATTTACAAAGCTATTTTTTGCTTTAATAATTATCTAGAAATCTTTTCTAGAAATCAGATTTATTAAGTTTTGGCTTTATATACTAATCATTAGGTTGGTCTCTTCTATCGAGGAACCAAACGTCACTTCTTTTGTGTTGATATAATCAATATTATCGTTTCTGAGTTTGTTTATCGACGGTAAGACAATACGATGTTTAGCCATAACAAATACTACTGTTCCCACAAGCCAAGGTACGAATGTTTATTCTTGGGAATAAAAACTCATGGCAACGCAGAAAACAAAATGTTTGTGTCTACAAGACCACTCCTTTACGTTTCTTATTCTTTCACTCATTATCATTAATGATACTAACACAGAGTAAAAATAAGTAAAGACTGCGATGTTAATGTCTGTTACCCTGGTTTGAATGCAGATCAATTAGGCCAATTTATTGAGCAACAACACGATTCATTTAACTTTTGCCTCCGCGAATTCATGTTTTTTCCCTATCGAAATTAACTGAAAGGGCATGCTTTTAGGCAAGTCGTTAAAAACATCGAAGGTTGTAATAAATTGCACTGCGCTGATTTTTTGGTATGTTGTTACGGTAGTCACCTAATAAAGACATGTTAGTAGCTTTGAAACACCTGTTTGAACTGCGTTTTGCTCGAAAAAGCTCGAAATTTTATGTCTATTTTCATCACCTAACTTATAACTTTTGAAAGATTCAAAATAATGAGAAAGTAGCTTTCTATACATTGCAGAGTGCAACTTAAGCTATGTAGCTCAAATAGATCGTGAAATAGAGCTGTTTCAAATTTGGCTATTTTTCTCAAAAAGTTTGTATAGTTTAGCCGTATTCCGATCAGATTATTGAATATAGTACCTATTACACAGGAAAAAACTTGAAAACTAAGTTAGTAACTTCCCATTTAGATTTCAGACTCACTACCTATTTAGATTTAATTTCATGATCAGTTGACTTTTATACCACAAACAGTTTGTCATTATTAAGCTAAATCTAAATCACGAAGGACGGGTTGGGAGAAAGGGGTCAGGGGGAGGGGCGTGCGAAGGAACCCATCGATCTCCCCCTCTCCTGAACTCCTCCGCTCCCCCTCTCCCTCGAAGAGTACCTCACCCCACAGAGTCTAACCAATTATATATCGTTGAGTCGAACTCTTAACTCACGACATGACTTCATACTTTTTCATAAGTGTCATCGATTTATAGGACAATATCACGTCAAAACAGAATAAGTATAATCTTAAAATGGAATACCGTTCTTCTTCTTCTTGATTTGCTATACCCAACGGGCGTCAGACCAGATTCACACCGCTCTAGACTCGATAGTCCACAACGTCTTCCACACCGCCAAAGACAGGAACAGATGGAAGACTATCATATAGAAGAAAGTGATGCAGAAGGGAGGTCACGACCCTCAATAATGAGCAATGCGACTTAAGGAACGGGCGTCAGGCACCACCTTTGCAAAAGTCAGTCTATTTTGCGCCAATTCGGAATACGGTTAAAATCACAATTTCTAACTGTATCTCACGACCTTTAAGAGTTACAGAGCTGGGGTCGCAGTCATATTGTAAGATTTTTTTGTCTACTTTAATGTGTAGAGAGCACCTTTCTCAATAGGTTTGGATCTCAAAAGTTATATTACCTGCAATATAATGCACATTTTATGACAATCATCACCTTTTCTATTATGATACAAATAAAATTCGAAACATTAAAATAATATTTTGACGACCTCCGTGGTCGAGTGGTTTGTACGCCGGGTTTCATGGTGTCACCGACTCGAGAGGTCCCGGGTTCGAATCCCGGTGGGGGCAGATGTTTGTGTGATGAATACGAGCATTTGTACTCCAGTCATGGATGTTTAATATGTACTTATATATAAATATACTTATATATGTACTGTATATGTATTCTATCCGTTACCCTAGTATCCCATAACACAAGCCTTAGTGCTTACTTTGGGGCTAGGCTAATTGGTGTGAGTGTTGAAAATATTTATTTATTTATTTATTTATTTATTAATAATGCCACCTACACAATGTGTTCTAGATAAACGTAGTGATAAAAATCGCATTTTTAAGTAACCTGCATTTCATATTCAACATTTTATAAGTAATACTTATATTTTAAGAAAAACTGGTGTTGAATTACGTAGATTATGATATACGTTACGCTTAACCCTGTATTGGTTTTTTCTCAACGGAGGATAAAAGTAATCTGAATGGTTTTTCCATATAAAATAGAAATCTAATTTCACTCAAAAGACGGAAACATATAGGTTTCGCTACCTTGGCATATAAATACAAATAAATATCCGTTATTTGTCGTAATCTAAATCATTTTAGAATGGTTGTTGGCTCTATTATTTATTGTATCCGGTAAAGGAGATTGCTCAAATTGGCCCAAATGCACAAAAAATATTGACATACACGGTAATTCTTGGCGTAATTTATAATTTAATTTACAGTCATTAGATTTCAACGGACACCTTTGTATAATATATTTACTTTAAAAAGGGCTTTTAATTTTCCCGTTTGGAAAACATACGAATCATTTTTAATGGCTATGGGTGTAGTAACTTTCAGCCAAAGACTGATCGAAGTTGTTTACATAACATAAAAACAAATCTATTTTGTAAAGATCGATATTTTTTTTTTTTTTATTACACTGTGGTATTAATATCCACAAGTATATTATCATTTTCACTAGATGCAAATGTGCTCAGACAATTATTATAGATGGTAGGCGACATCATAAAGTCTATTGCCATACATTTTTCGCCAAACACCTCCATAAACACATTATAATCTGTATATATGTTAGACTTATTTAGGTAAGGAAAGTTAAAGGCCTACGTTCCCTAACTATAAATTAATAAATAAATAAAATTATAAGGTGTGATACACTAAAAATCTAAAATATGGTTATCTTAAAAACATAACAAAAATAATGAATCTACTGAATATATGGCTATAGAACCTAAATCTCATAGCTTTCTTTGGTTAACGAGAGTTTAAAAATTCTCTCTAATCTGTGGCTCATTCACAATCATCACACAGTTTATGTCACAGAGTACCTTATTATAACCGGAAATGCATAGATGACACCTGATTTTAGAAGTTACTCTTATGCATTAACTTTAAAAACAGGCAACTATCTGTTAATCTACATGCTCTATATACCTGAATCTAATCCATAATTTCGGTACTTGGCTTGATTTTCCTAGTTTATTATATAACTTATTTGTTTTTTATTATTTTAATATGTTCAGTGTATATGGTTTATAGAAGTTCTCAGGGGTGTCCGTCAATAATATTCGTTTCTACAGTAATTTATATATAATTTCGAATCTAGGAAACAATTTTTCATGATTATTGGTCTTTAGGCCAAACATGTATGGAAGCTGAGCAATCTCCTTTACATAATATCAGTCAATTTACATTTAAAATAAATATAATAAAATGGTAGGAAAGTCAAAACTGTACATTGAATATTTTTTTAAAAGAATACTTGGGGTGTGATCTACAATCGATACCGAAGCCAAAAATATAGTTTTGAGAATTTTTGTCTGTTTGTCTGTATGTAATTCCGGGATAAACTCAAAAAGTACTGCATGGATTTACTTCAAAGGCACGAATATTATTAAGAAGTCGGGTCAACATATAGGCTACATATTATCACGCTATTACCTACGGGGAACGAGCAATGGACAGGGGTCAAAAAGTATGTGCAAATAACTAACTCCACGCGTACGAAGTCGCGGGCGGCCGCTAGTTTAAAATAAACTTAGTATACCTACTGCTCCTGGTGTGTAATATAATGTAATATGTGTGTAAAACATAGTGTAATATGAGATTGTATAGTTTTTATAGAGACTTTTCTAGTTAGACTTTCAGTCAATTCAAATATCGCATGCTGATTATTGTGTAATTTAATCAGACCCTTAAGGAAAATAACTTGGGGTTTGTTAATGAAAGGGTTTTTTTCGTTAGATTCGATATGCTCCTGTTTGGTTTGCGCGTGAAAGCAGAGAAGATCTCTCTGATCAAAAAGTCTCCAAAGAAACTTCACTTGTACTCAATGCTAGTGAGACTGTTGTTACTGGATGTGAGCGAGTAGGCTGTGCTCTTCCCCTGCGCTATGGTAGCCAACTGCTGGTCCAGCAGGTTGTTCTGTTGAAGCAGTAGACTCCACTGCCGCACAGCCAGCTTAGATGAGGACAGTTCCTGTTAAAACTGTCTGCAATGAAAGATTTACTCACCCAATGCTGGAGAGGCTGTTGTTACTCGCCGACAGCGAGTCGGCTGTGCCCTTTCCCTGCGCTATGACAGCCAACTGCCACTCTAGCAGGTTATTCTGTTCCAGCAGTTGACTCTACTAGCGCACGGCTGTCTTAGACGAAGACAGTTCCTGTCAAAATTGTGTGCAATGAAAGCTTTACTCACCCAATGCTAGTGAGGCTGTTGTTACTCGCCGTCAGCGAGTCGGCTGTACTCTTCCCCTGCGCCATGGCAGCCAGCTGCCGGTCCAGTAAGTTATTCTGTTCCAGCAGTTGACTCCACTGCCGCACGGCTGTCTTAGACGAGGACAGTTCCTGGCGAAGTTGCTTCTCGTCCAGCGAATTAAGGCCGCTTCGTAAGGAGCTGTCCAGCCTTTAGGGAAAATACATGTACTTAGTACTCGTCTTCCTTATACTTTCGTAGTAGAAGGAAACAGTTCTGGCTGATCATCATCACACAACTAATGTTTTCACTGCTAGGTTTCTTCATCGACAAAATTAAATATGGAAATACCAAACCACACGCCAAATTGTGGGCCTTAATTAACATCTATATATGCAGTCGGGACCAATGGATTAACGTGCCAATTAAAGCACACGTACGGCTCTAGATATAATATGATCTGGATCATTGATCCTAAGACAGATCATTTCAAAATTTGCTTTTTAGTTTGACAAACGATAAATAGAAATGCATAACAGAAAGGGCAGAGAAAAGCCCAAGTATATCTACCGTAGAAGGTTCTAAAGTTCGTTAACTTAGCTATTTCTAATCTAACTTGAATATTCAGTACAATTTTAATTTATTTTTATAGAAAATGAAAATTATAATTTATTTAAAAATCTTAGATAAGTAAGTACCTACCTTGTTAAAGTCCAATAACTTGCTCATATTATAATAATGAAATAGAAGAACCACCTTCAGGTAAATAAATATTCCTCTCAAAATATTTGATATAAACAAGAAAAAATCATCACCTTTCAATATAGTCGTCAACACTTTGTAGACTAGTGATGGATTGTGCGAGATCGTTGTCCATCATGAGATCGTCGGATGCTAGGCTCGAAAGAGTATCTAAAGATGGAGTCCTTTCAGTTCCCCCAATCCGGCCACCACCTACTGTTGCAACAATAAAAATTATCACATTGAAATTTTTTAGACATCCAAAATCTTATAAGCATTTATTTTTATAAATAGAAAACATAAATTACTGTTACAAAGTTATCCAACGTTTTTTAACAAACATAACACTATATACAGAGTTAAAGGTACTAAATTCCCCCCAAAATTCAAAATTTTTAACATTCTCCCTTTTTAGGGAAGGCAAAGGGAATAATGCCCATACACTCTAGTCTTCATTTTACTTTGTTATTTTTTTACGTTACAATGTGGGTGTGACATATTCTTATGTATGTTTTTTTTTCGAAAATATTAGAAAACAATAAGAAAGACTGCCGATCTTTATTTAAATTAAGAAGTACAGAATTTCTTTTTTTGTCGTATTCATCATTATCAGCCTATAAATGACCCCACTGCTGGTGCACAGGGCTTCCCTATGGATGGAATAGGGAGATTGAGCCATGACCCACCACGCGGGCCTAGTGCGGATTGGCGGGTGCTGACGACTGCAGATGCAGCCGGGACCAACGGCTTAACGTGCCTTCCGAAGCACGGAGGAACTCGAGATAGAAGATTTTTGGCCACCCATCCAATGACCAACCACTGCGAAAGTTACTTAATACACAGCCGAACGCGCTTACCACTAAGGAAAACTTACATTTACGGCTGCGTTGTACAAGAGGGCTAGCCGTAGCAGTTATCCGTTCCCGTGACCTCCTTAATTGTCTGCTCGCTTCTGACTCTTTATTAATCGTGTTACTGCCATCATTATTTTCTGTAGAAACGAATAGCATTAGGCATAGACTTGTACAGTCAATGGTATTCATAAGGAGTTATCTATACTTATAGTAGCGGCACGCTATGATGGACGTTTTGACGTTTGTACGTTCATGAAGTTCGAAATTAGTTTTGCATTTGAAAGAAATTATTATTGTTCTTCATTGTCATTAGAGACGCCCATTTAGTCATAAAATTTATCGAATCGATAATTTTAGGGTGTAGAATTATACAAAACTATATAAAATCATGGTCTAACTTATATTAAGGTTACGAAAACCTTTTTAAGGTTAAAACAATGATATGTAATATCATTTTTAACTTAAAAACACCGGCTCTTTGACAAAATCTTTAAAGGATTAAGAAAATTAATTTACATAATTGTTTTATTTTCATTATCATTAAGAAGCAAGGCGCTGCAGATAACCCACAATGTCAAATGACTACCTTTACAAATATTAAACATTTGGAATAAGAAATAGGAATTATAGTTATATATTTATTTTTTACATAAATAAATCTTCTTACTTCGGAAAAGCAAAGCGGGCTGGTCAGCAATTTCGTCATCGAAGAAGTCCCGGCCGTCAGACAGTGATAGGGACCCAGACGCGTGCGTTGGAGTCCCGGGGGTGTCAGGGGAAGCATTCTTGCTGCCTTCCTTGCTGCCATCGTTGCTATGAACCTCACTGAACATAATTTTGATTTATTATTACAAAGATGTGTGTATGGATCGTGTCTTGTGGCGCTCTATTCTCTCTGCCTACCCCACCCGGGACTCGGCGTGAAGATATAGATAGACAAATAGATTATAATTACGTTATTAAATCTCGTATTAAGCAGGGCTTGTAATAATGTAAATGAAATAATAATGTACAACAATAACTTGAGAATAAAAAGTTTAAGTTTCTTTGGTAAAGTTTTCTTATGATTTATATTCCTAATATGTCTGATTTTTTTATCATAAAATATCATTTATCATACGATTTTTTAGTATTCACAGATATTATTTTGGATATACGGAAATCTATGCGGAAGAATATGTAACTGGTTTTACTGCTATTTGGGATAACCAAGAAAAAGTAAGTGCTGCAGTTGCGAAATGGTCTATCTAATATGTCAAAAATACACAATCTTATCAAAAACATAAATGTGAAATGAGAGCCAAGTTCAGTTTAGTTATTCTGTCCTAAAATTCATTTATAACTTCTCAAATATAATTTCTTCTTATAACTTAGGAATATATTGAAGCCTCAGGTCTGACTTGGCTAGTTTTCATATACAAATTATATTATAACCTTTGCAAGTTTTTAACCTTAAGTTCTTATTTTATTCTTCCGAAAACTTGGCTTGTTGATAGAAACTAGACATTGAAGGGCTCTTCCAAGACTGTTTTAGTAAATACTTGATAAATCAGTTAAGTCAGTGATAAAATATCGATATTTGGATGTAAATATCTAAATAACCGTTTGCGGTATTTTTATGAAATTTAGCGTACACATATATCTCAATCAATTCTCAATATATGAGCCAAGTTTTACATGTTTATGTAACATAGTTTTTGAGTTAGGAAGGGTCAAAAATGGCTCCAAATGGTTCGTATAATATTAGACATGGTACTGTTCGCCAGTTCTGTTAGCTTGAACTTGGCTTGACACACTACCGCGTGTCTAGATATGATGATGTACAGTTTTCATTGTTGAATGTAATATTATCATCAAGAAGAAAATTAAGGATAATAGTGTAATGTTTTCGAACTCACATAATTTCCTTAAGCGGCTGCAACATTTCTCCGTCTACCCCATCGCTCGGTTCCATAATCGGCTCTGGTGTTCTCGTTTTAGTATTAGCCGTTTGATAAGCCGAAGATATGGAAGGTGGGTCTCTCTCCACATGCAGATCATTGTTGGAGTCACTAGTGCTGGTGGAAGATATAAGGCTGTCCGCCGGAGAAGTTTCATCATCGAGCAAGCTTTGAGTAGAAGTCTCTAGAGCTGACATATCGAACTTGGACTCTTCTAGAGTGAGTGTTAGGGTATGGTGATCGGCGCTTTGGTTGGTGCAAGTGCTCGTTGTGCTGTAATTTGAACTGGTCATCGATCCTGGGGAAACATTATACAATTTTACTATGTATAAGGCGCAGCCAATTAAGACCCTTTCCGTCTAAATTTAAATGGAATTTTGTTGCTTTGAAAAGGGGGCAGCTGGAGTTACAGCCCAATCCCCTACTTCGCGGAGCCATGTAATTATAGCTGGCATAGTGAATGTTGCCTTTAAGGTTACTGGTTTAATTTTTTATGGATTTAGTGATTCCAAGCTTGGTTAGTTCTGGTAATTATAGACAGATACATTACTCAAAACTAAAATATGAAAGTTTTGAGTACATACCTGTGTCTGTGTTCAACTGACTTTGAGCTTCATTTTCCGGTATCTTGTAGTGTGCCTGTTTGTATACATTGTTTCGGTTTTCTATTACAAGAGCTTTGGCTTACCTAAGGGTTAGATTTATATCTATTTTTTGTTAAATATTCTTCACTATTGCTCCAATACTCACCCATCATACTGCTGCGTAAAGAATCATGCTGACTAAGCGTCAGTGATTTCATGAGTAGAGGGTGCGGTACTGGTGGCTCGTCCATTATTACGATGGTCTTCTTGGGGAGAACTACTTCAACCGGCTTTAGGGGTTCTTTCGCTTCAAACTTGGACTTCTCATCCTCGCAACTTGATACGCTTAAAGCTATAGACACGTCGTCTTGTGATCTAAGAAAAAAGAAACAAACGGATCAATTTAGGTACCCGAAATTAAAAAAGCTAGGCACTTTATAAGTTTAATACTTGCAACAGTGACACAACAAACATAAGAACTTCATCTACATGTTTCATTTATCTTACAAACTATAACGTCTATTGCTGACCAGTTATTTAAGAAGAAGAAAGAAAGTGAAAAAAAACCAACAAAGTATTGAAACCCGTACGTGCGTTACACTACGCAGCGTGCTCAAGCTAAGACATATAACTAAATTATTTAAGAATACACTGAAATAGCTGTCTGCAGTCAGAAGTACTGAAATTATCCACCTTGTAGCCATGGCTTCGCCAGCAGCGTGGGTCTGCCAGGCGCTGCTGTTTCCGAAATGGCTCTCTTCGCTTTTGCAAGACGGACTTGATTCTTTGCTGGAGTTGACTGTAGTCGGAGACACTACCCCACTCGACGATTTGATGAAAGAGTTCTAGAAAACATTATGTACACTAAAATAATATTTGTTATTTCAATCTACTTCAAAAAAGAAGAGAGCTTTCGATTCTTATAAGTAGCTAAACTTTTTCTTGGTTTTCGCATTGATGTCATTTTACAACTCCCTCTTTCCTCTATACAAGGATTTTTAAATCCATATGCAAAAGAACGCATGTAGAAAGTATGTATTGTCAGCACTTGCGCTTCTAAACTTTTCCAAATTTGTTAATACTCCGTGCAATATCTATGAAATTCAGAAGTCATAAGTAGCAACTAAATTTTTATTTATTAAACTACTTGACCGTCACTGAAAGCTTTATATTGAGATAGCACTTCCGTTTCCCGTCGAATTACCATCAGTTTCCGTACTTTTATTCACCTTGTATCCGGTCCAGTGGCGACACCTGGCAGAAGCGCGGCCATTTTTGTTTTCCTATGTTTTGACAGCGCCATATTAACTCATTGGCGTTCTGACTCCCGTCGAAGCAACACGTCCTCAATCTGAGCGATCGTTGTGAGATTTTAAAGGTTTTATTATTATTAAGTGATAAAACTGTAAGTAAAACTATTTTATTTTAACGGTTTTTGCCGTTCGTGTTATTCCAAATAGGTACTTTACGTGTTAAAAGTGAAGGAACCGTAAGTAAAACTATTATTCCTTTTGATAGTTTTTGCAGCCCTTGTGATAAGGGATATTTAAAACAAATATGTTAAATTGTGCAATACGCTTGTTTGAAAAAGTAATAATAAGCCGTGAGTAAAACTTGACGGCAATTCAAGGTGCGTTTTGTTTAAAAAATTAAAGTACCTACATTAAAGTAAATTTTGCAATACTTTACGTCTGTCTTGGTCGTTTATCATAAAAACTATTTTAAGAGTGTTTTCTCTTGGTACTCAATTAATGTTTCCGTTTAAGTAAATGTGAAAGTAAATTGGTAAATGTATTACAAAATACTTAATTAAATTGTTTTACAGTTTAGAGTGAATGAATATCGGTCAATATTGACGTTTCAGCCGCCGACTGACTGGCATTATTGACAAAAACAGCAAGATGTGTCATTATTGTTCTTCGAACAGCTGCAGTAATAATTGGTAGAATTTGTCGTCTTCTGGTATAACGAATCGCTGCCTCAAGAAAAATAAGCGAGCTTGATATTCCAGCCCTTTTATTAAAAGATTGTTCGAGGGGTAAGTGAACTATGTACAATCTTAATAAGGTATTTCTAATGTCGATATGCCGTTTTCTGAACATGGCCAGCTATCAATATCTAAAGGCTTATGAATAAAAAGTTCTAACATTTTTACTGACCTATACACGTAATAAAAATTCTCATATGAGTCGTGTGACTAAACTAGGATAAAGGAACGCTCTGTTCGAAAGACATTCAACGTTTATTTTAAATGATATGCTGATGTAAATTAAAAATTATAATCATAGTCCAGGCTTTATCAACCTGGAAACAAACAACGAGGTAAAGAAGTATGATGATAATTTATGATATATCACGTTCCTGACATTAATTTTCTTTCAGCAATTGCATATTTCTAAAATAAAAATGAATCATTGCGGGAAGGCACCTGCTCAGTTAATTTTAATAACGAAAGTGATAAGATAACAGAATCGTTTCTTAGGTCTTTTACAGCTAGCACAAAGCTAAAAAGTAAAAACTAAAGCACTGCTTAAGAAGTTAGTGATCTCTGTGATGAAGCACCGCTTAATAAGATACCATCTATGAGGTTGTTTTTCTCGTATTAAGTAAGTATTTGTCATGGATTTAAGTGATTGACATTTCATCAACCTAATGAGCAACTCGCGCAGAGGCAAGTGATATTCATAAGCTTCATCTCATGAAGCCCAAGGCGTGTCAGGACATGCCCTCCCATGGCGTACCTACACATATGAGTACCGGTGGCAAATCACCCTCGCGGGGTGCATATTATATATAATTTGTTTCCACTACGTGGAATCTTATTAAATGCCTCTAATGCCTTGCCTACATATACGAGTACCGGTGGCAAATCACCCTCGCGGGGTGAATATTATGTACAATTAGTTTCCACTACGTGGAACCTTATGAAATGCTTCTAATGCCTTGCCTACATATACGAGTACCGGTAGCAAATCACCCTCGCGGGGTGCATATTATATACAATTTGTTTCCACTACGTGAAACCTTATGAAATACCTCTAATGCCTTGCTTACATATACGAACCAAAACTCTGATGACCGCCCCTCGCGGGGGCATATTATGTATAATTTGCTTCCTCCGTATGGAACTCATTATGAATAAGGACTTGCCTTCCATGGCTTGCCTACACATACAAGTATCAGTAACAAAACATCGTTGATAGAGAAATATCCTCATCAATCTTATAATCGCCCTTGTGGGGTCATATCACACATAATATATTATTTCCATTACATGAATATCAATATATGTTCTCCTTAGAACATGTTAGCTTATGGAGTTCGTACTATTATGGAAGCACCGGTAACATACGACACTCAAGTAGAGCAAATTATGCATAATTTAACATGTAGTCTATTCGTGATTCATAATTTATTTTTGTGACCATGGGGTCTGTAAAAGTGTAAACGATTCGAAACATTAAAAATAAGTAAATTGAAAATATAATAAATGTCGCTTGACATAATTCATTACTTCCATCGCGTGGAAATCCATACATCAACGCAACGCAACATACCCGCTCATGGCTTGCGTACACACATAAGTATCGGCTATAAACTACCCTCTTAATAGACTATAAAGATCGAACATCGAATGTTGACGTACCCCGTTGGGAAGTGCAATGTACGTGGTTTTTAAGGTGTCGCATACTCTGAGGTCTTGGGTTCACCCCGGTGGGGCAAATCATTGTATGATAAAAACGAGTATCTGTGCCTAAGTTTTGGTTGTTAACAAATATGAATTCAAAATCATACTAATCTATGCATCATCATTATGCATTTCTAGGCGTTAGCCCATAACACAAGCCTTTCAATGCCCATTATAAGGCTAGGCTAATTGGTGTGAAGGGTTGACTCGATCACTACGGTTGTTCTACCGTAATATATAATACATTTCAAAAGAAAAAGGAATATCGAAACAATTAATGTTTGAAAAAAATTAGTGCAGGTAAGTTGATAAATTGGGAGCTCCATAAATAATTCTTAAATAAATTTAATGGTATCGCATGCCATTCAGAAGCTTGTTTATATAAATCCAATATATATCAAACTCCAATCTCAAGTGCAGTACACTATAAATATGTAAAGAATTCTAAGTTTTCTGCAATTTAAGGACTATCTGCCAGATAAATAGATGATAACATATTTTCTCTTGAAAATAACAAAAGTAAACCAAATGGGTTGCTCACTCTTTTGATCGCGTAATGAGAGAAACTTGCAATATTAGAAATGTCGTGTATGTGGTCTCTGAGGTGGCCAACATGATCATTTTGATATATAAGTGGTGCTATGTACTGAAGAAAGATTGCACGATCTACCTAATTTTTGAAAGGTTTTGAAGATCATTGTATGCAATTATCCACTTTATGTTATTTTAGTAAAAATTACTGAAAACTGTTCTTAATATTAAACTTACGCTTTCTAACCTTGCCACGACTGTCTGGAATAAATATACTTCAAACCCTACGCATAGTACATGCACACCTCATGTAAGCTGTGTAAATCTTATAAATAACTAAATCTTTATTTAGTATTAAGTAACACATATAAATGACTGAGATCTAAGAACTGAAAAACAAAAGGAAAAATTACAATCAATTATAGATTCCAGGATAGCAAATGAATTTCATAAAATCTGGTCTGAACTTCGTAATAGCATAATTTATCACGGCAACCCAGCAACAATATAAAAACTATACCTGAGAATTTCGTTGTAAAAACGTAAACTTCAGAAGTTGATCGGTTTCAACATTTTTGTCATTCCGTGGGGTTGTATCAACCACTCCCTACTTCTAACAATAATTATGAATTCACTGCAATCGACCTTGCAATCACTTCCCGCCAATCTAATATGAAAGTTTGGAAAGTATAGTTGAAGAACACGGCTTTACCACTTAACTTCAATCTTCACTCCAATCAAATAGATATGCTAGCACTACGCTTTTCAACATATTCTACAAAGAGCGACAGCTCTGTCTTAAACAGCTATGAGATGGCTCGGAAACGCTGGCTTGCGTGGTTACATTGGTCTAGGAACAAGAATGTTTATCGGAATAATCCCGCAAGTTGTGGACTTGGCTCTGAACTAACACGATTTTTGAGAGACTTATTTTTAACAGTAGTTTTTACATGATATACCAATGGATGATAAGTCTAATTACCTAAGCTCACCTGTCTTGGCAAACACATATATATTGAAGTCGATTGTTTTTAAAGAATCAGTCCGTAACCTACTATTCTGTGTCTATAAGTTAACTTATTTCCTTTTCTTCAATAATGTACTCGTTACATCATAATGATCTGTTTCAAATACTTCGTCATATATGTTGTTCTGAACGTCATACAGTAATTATGCTGCGTATTATTTGGTTCATTGTATTTGTTTCATTGCTGCATTGTATTTGTACCGACGAAGATTAGTTTAGCCTTGTTTTGGTTCAAAACAGGTGAAAGTAGTTAAAGACAATCCGATTGGTGACTTGTACCGAATAATGGTAATCGTAAGTGGGACCCTGATTTTTGGTACTTAAGTAAAAAGTACAGTCTTGTAAAATGTAAGACTCAGTATCGAACAACTTTACATCTTTTTCTCGCGTTCGTACGCCTTATTTGTGATATACAAAGATACAAATGAATGCTACACAAGGAAGCGTCCGGTCATTAACAAAGCAAATATATGTAGAAGTATATATAATACATATGTTAAAGCAGCTTCGTAAGCTTGAAGAAATTAAAGGCGTGATTCAAATAATATTATTTGATTCACTTTTAAGCTTACTCGTTTCTTTATACAGTTTCATATAATCTGATAAATGATAATATTTAAATTTATCATAAATTGTCACATTGGCGTATATATCTATGTACGTGGCGATCACCAGGCGATAACAAACAGGTCTCAATATAAAGCTTTCAGTGACGGTCAAGTAGTTTAATAGCAGCATTTTACCTGAAATAAAATGCATATTAAAATACTTACCTCACTGAAAGCTTTCACTTTAAATTCTGCCTGGTGAAATAATTGAGCCAATGAGTTAATATGGCGCTGTCAAAACATAGGAAAACAAAAATGGCCGCGCTTCTGCCAGATGTCGCCACTGGACTGGATACAAGGTGAATAAAAGTACGGAAACTGATGGTAATTCGACGGGAAACGGAAGTGCTATCTCAATATAAAGCTTTCAGTGAGGTAAGTATTTTAATATGCATTTTATTTCAGATAAAATGCTGCTATTATAATAAAGAAAATTTAATTGCAATTAATAAATTCAACAAGTGATTCTAAAATTTCCACATTTAGATTTTCTTAAATTCATTTTATTTTTTGTTTAGCAGCTCATTGGGCTTCCAAAAAATTACCTAATTAAACTTCCGCATTTTCATCAAAGTTGTTTAAAACATTTTTGTCATCTATTTTACCTGTTTATTTAACATTTCCGGCTGTGCTCTGTCCAGCACAAACTTCTCTTCGTCTTTGTCAGTGGCACCTAGAATCTTGGTAGGCCTGGTCCTTGTCCTATACCGTTCCAGGGTAGACATAGGACTCTGCCTTGATGGTTCCACAGGGGTTGGCTTCGGGAGTATTGGAGACGGAGGTTTGTACGTGGGGACAGAGGTCTCGTACTCCGGAGTCAGTTCACCGTCAAAAGAACTAGGTAGTTTTGGCAAGGGTATCACTGTGTGGCCTGTCACCACTGCTTCGTCTGTGAAGAAAAAATAATAAAATTATAATGTCTGTGACGAAAGAATGATAATTTTTTATAGGATACATACTTGTATTTAGTCAAATACGCTAAAGCTCAGATGTTAAGTTTGCTTTATTTCACAGAAGACTACAGCCTCGTAGGATGTAATTCTGCTGTGTGCTTAGGATTTTGAGTAAAGTTGACTAATCTTTACAGAGTAGGGATATCCAGGAAGTCATATTTTGGTTTGCAATCTTTTATGAATAAAATTACGTAATAGATTTTTGTAGGAAGACGTCAAATTATTCCACCCCGTGTGTAGAGAGGTAAAAAAAATGTAATTATATCCCCTTCTTGAATATGGACTTTCCATATGCACTGATGGCCTTTTCATAGTTGCATAAAACTTTTTTTGTTTTATACATTTTAAACTCTAATTTGTATTGACAAGTTGTGTGGTGCGGTGCGGTGATACATTGGAGCGGTGCCATTCGATATAAGTTTCAGTTAAACCATAATCGCCAAGTATGCAACTTGTAGCTGTCATGGTTGGGCGGAGACAGCTCGACTCCGGTCCACACACCAGATTCACTAGACACTGCGGACGCTACATCTAGGCCTCTCACCCATAATGTCCAAGTCTGCGACTTGTAGCTCTCTGATGTGGAAGCTGTGAGGTTCCAGGTTGCGCGGGGACTGCTCCCCTCCAGTCCACACATCCGATTCACTAGACATTGCGGACCTTGCAACTAGGCCTCTTACCCATAATGTCCAAGTCCGCAACTTGTAGCTCTTTGAGGTGGAAGCTGTGAGCGCCCCGCATCACCATCTCCAGGTTGCGCGGGCGGCGGCGCGAGCGCGGGGACAGCTCCCCAACGCCTTCCCCTCCGGTCCACACGCCCGAGTCACTCGACACCGCGGACCCTGCACCTACATAGAGAAACGTATACCTACATAATTTGATGAATTCATACATTTATAGTTTATCGCTATGCCATCCTTTCTGATGAACTTATTCGGTGGAAAAGATTAATTTTGCGCTGGTTTTCGAAAATGCTATAAAATAGAATCTATTTTTTATTTTGATTTCGTTGAAGTCAAAAGGCGAAAAGAACCTTTTAGGATCCTATCAAAATAAGATTAGGGGTAAAATTAACGAAAACATACAGTAGCGGGAATTCAATAGTCTTAAGTCGTCTTACATTTGTAAGTAAAACGAGTGGCTAAGTTAAATGAAAATAATTCAATATAACAAACTAGCGAAGGAGGTCTATATTAGGGAACATCTCAACAAGTAATTGCTAATCTAAGTTGGTATCCGAAATAAACAAATTCCTGCTGTTATGTTGAAAGTACGTGTTATATACGTACTTTCAACATAACATTATAAATATATTAAGTTAACTATAGTAAATTAAAGTATGTATTACTGAAAAAACTGTTAAAGTTGTGGGTCGATATTGTAATAGTCATTAATTTATCACATATATACATATTAGATTATAAATTATAAAAATTAGGATTGGGTACAACACACAAGGCCAAGCGGGTCGTATAAGTTTAAAGGTGCTGACTGTAGAGGAGTGCTTGTATTCAGTCAACAACAAACAGTCATACATACGTGTATAAAATAATTAAAATATGCACAATCTTTTTTTGCGCATTCTATCCCTTACAAGTTTTACTTTCGCTAATAGAAGAACATAATACCGAAAGTAATAAACTAAATTTAGCGATTTAGACAGAAAATCTTATCAGACAGAAAAAGTTATTTTCACTTTTTTTATAATATGGAAAAATATGGATAAAAATATGTATGTATGACAATAGTTGCAGAAAGTATCTAACTTCAGTACCTTCTCTCCATCCTTCGTTAGCACCAGCTCTTCTCGTGTTGTTTATCACCTGAAAAAAATACACCTATTATAACCACTTTCACTGATTTCACTTTATAAAATACACAAAAAAACATCACAACCATCTCGCTATCCAAAGTGCATGTCAACGAATGAACTAGGTAACCCTTCGCGTCATAGTAACCGATGTCGAAATACACGGGAGTTTATTTGTTGGTCAACTATTTAAAAATAACGACACACACGAGAGACTACGCATCACAGTTCTGTCTCAAGATAAACTTTATTTACATGATGCATGTGAAAGGCAAATATTATTTGCATAATAATTATAGTTTTTTTTAAATTTATTTATACATACACTCACAGGTGATATTTTGTTGATTGATGGTGGAGTTAATTAGAAGATAATTCCATAGCATAGCATCTCCGTAATTATCACTAAGCAAAGGATATAATTTTGACTATCACAAAATTAATAACGCTACCAATTAAAAACGCAAAATCACTATAACTTACAACATTATATGTACACAATAAAATATATTAAGTTAACTATAGTAAATTAAAGTATGTATTACGAAATAATTTTTAAACAACACGTCATTTCACGGTCTACAACTAAGAGAAAATGCGCGTATAATTAATATGTTCCATTATTAAGAGCATGTTGTAAAATATTCAAGAAAGTAGTTAGCAACGCCGACTATCGTTATTCTATTCCGCTTGTTATGAAAGAAACATTTTTTTTTATAAATACAAATAATATTTGCTGGAAGTTTAAACTTCACTTATTCGCGCCTTGATACCTTATTCTATTGATCCGATATTCAAATGTTTATCAAATAATAATGGTAGCGAGAACTAATTTCATTTTACGTATTTACATATAATATTGAAAATAATATAATTTTATGTGTAGGTAGAATTAGCCATGAATTATCACAGCAAATACTAAGGTATGTACCTATCCCATTTATTAATCTTAGATAGACAAACAAAAGAGCAAACAATGTCGGTAACTCAAGGAAGCTCAACTCTATTTACCATATTTTTTTACATTATTGGAATTTCAATCTCGTCTATGTTGTCGAATGTCAAATGCAGTGTGCAGCGCCGTGTATTTTCAGCAAACGACGACCGGCTTTCATCTTTACGACACTGCAAATAGATGGGCTGTGACCTATTTCCTCGTCCACGGGAAAACTTTTCTTACCAGCAACAAAATAACGCACAAAATCATAGGAAATAATAAAAGAATTGTTGTGTAATCGGCTTTTTTTCAATAAATTTATGAAGGAAACACAGAACCTGCTCTGTGTGTTTCCAAATACTCATAATTTATCACTTTCTTTTTGTTTTTGTCTATATTTGTATTATTTACGTATGTGAATATTATGAGTTCCAATAGAGGGCTGATTGATTGTTAATAAGGTATTATATTAAAATAAAATAAATACCTATTTCCCTAGTTTCATTCACAGATGCATTCTTCTAAATTCTGTTAAATTTTCTATATAAATGAAAACGAATCTCCGAAATATATCTATATACTATATACGCATATAACTTCCGAAAGACTTCATCGGATTGTGTAGTCATTATGTTTACCCGACTGCGCAATGCAAGAGCGCGAAGCGCAACGCGCAGACAGGATATAGCGTTTAACAGTCTATATAAATGTATGTATGGTCTTTGTAGCACACTAGAGATCAAACGCGTAAACGCATGGACCACCGTCAATCGATTCGTATGATTAAGACGAACGGGAGTGCCTCTACAGATGATAGTAATCGAAATTAAATATGGGGACAATTAGACGCCATACTGTGAGGAAAAAAATGAATTTACGAAATATGTCGAGTGGGGTATCATTATCTAGATAATCGAAAAAATGATGTGGTGTCGTGGGACACCAGGTAGGAACGAAGTTCCTTCGGCTAATGTAGAATCGACACAAATTGCAAACTCGCTTGTGTATGCGACTGTCGCGCCTGCGCACGTCTCATTTAACGGTTTTATTCCACGCACTTTTTTCCACGGATTTTTTGTTACGGTTTTACTATCACATTTTCACATTTTTTTCAGTTCGGTCAGCTAGTGTTCGTAAAGATTGCTAGGCAGGACTGGCCCACAGATTATAATAAACTACAATGTCACAATAATCCAGTAATGCAGCCCCGTCGCTCTGCCATCCCCTGGACTTAAGCACAGTTTAATATAATATACGACAATAATCCAGTGTTGGTATAATGCCACAATAATTTGGGGTTGCACCCCCGTCGCTTTGTCACCCCCTGTTAAGTACTGACCTTGTTATCATGTCTAGCTTAAGTTTACAGCAGATGATAGGCGTTCCTGGTCCACAGCTCGGTATAACGTCACAAATATCCAAATTTCATGTAATGTCACAATATTCCAGTGCTGCACCCTCGTAGCTGTGCCACCCCCTACATACGCACCTTATTATCATGTCCCGCTAGCGTTCGTAAAGGATGCTAGGCAGGACTGGCCCACAGTTTAGAATAAACTACAATGTCACAATAATCCAGTGATGCACCCCCGTCGCTCTGCAACTTCCTGATAAGTACTCACCTTGTAATCATAATCATGTCTCACAGGCGTTACTGGTCCATAGCTTGATATAACTTCACACATATTCAGTGTTGGTGTAATATAACAATATTTCAGTGATGCACCCTCGTCGCTCTACCACCCCCTATAACTTCACACATATTCAGTGTTGGTGTAATATCACAATATTTCAGTGATGCACCCTCGTCGCTCTACCACCCCCTATGCGCACGTCTCATTTAATGGTTTTATTCCACGCATTTTTTCTTACGGTTTTACTATCACATTTTTTTCAGTTCGGTCGCGCAGCAAAATCCCTATCCCCTCCAAGCCTGCCGTAAGGAACATCGTCGCGCCTGCGCACGTCTCATTTAACGGTTTTATTCCACGCATATTTTCTTACGGTTTTACTATCACATTTTTTTCAGTTCGGTCGCGCAGCAAAATCTCTATCCCCTCCAAGCCTGCCGTAAGGAACTTTCGTTCCAAAAATCATGTTAATGTTCCTTACACCATTTTTAATTTTATGTGACTGTTTAGGATCTACAACGATTGAAAGTTGATGCTCTTTTAATTTCAATCTTACGTTTCATACAAACGTTATGACTAACTTTATTACTCTTTCGCCCAAGAAATACTGAATGGATTTTAATGAAACATAACAATAATATAGCTCATATATAATAATAACATTTAGATAATAATTTATGTAGTAATTGAGTTAATTGGCCAAAATATATCAATAAGTGTCATGTAAGACGGAAAAAAGGCACACAAAATGTACCTAAATTTTAAAAATCAAAATACCCGACTTACCTAAAAGAATTATAGACTACTGGGCTAGTTTTTTTCTTTTCAGTTTTAATTTGAAGTAACACATAAGCAGTCGGGTTTATTAGATTTTTTAATTTACCTTTTTTTGTGTTCGTTGTCGTCAGGACATTGTTTGTATAAAAGAAAAGACAAAAAATAATAAGTATAAAAAGAAGAACTAGAAATACTGCGGAACGTAGTGTGCCAGGTCAGCTAGTAATGTCATAAATACCTGCTTTGCTGCTTTTGGATCAATATTCTTAACAGCAGGATACTGAGGTCGCGGTAGCTGGTTAGTTTGGAAGGTATATTTTCCAGGAGCTCTCTGGATTTCACCCTGTACTCGTGGGGCGGATGCACGACCAGTTTGTTCCACCCTAGTCCCTTTGGCTCTGACATCCTGTAATAAAATTTATATAATATTTTTATTATACTCAAGAAGAATTTTTTATTTATTCTTTTTAAAAATGTCCTTATTTCTATATGTCAGCAGTTAGTGTTTCGTAACGCTTATGTAAAATTAAACTTTATATAAGTTTAGTTTGCAGTATCCTGGAAAATTGTAGCGTAGTCTGGAGACTACACAGGTATAAACCTATAATAATTTAAATATAATATTATACGCTTTTAAAAACTCGCGTATAATTGTTTATTAAAATAGGTAATCTTTTTACGGGCACATGAATATATACTATTTTATATTGCAAGCAAATGACAATCCCGCCATCGATGCATCGTCTTTTGAAAGATAATCGTTTTTGAGGTAGTTGTAAGTACAAGGTCCCCTAATGAATACCGTATGCTTACTAACCTATCAATAGCACTCAAAAGCTTTTCGGCATTCAATACCGCTTTTAAACAACTTATACCTGCATTGAAATATTAACCTATTTTCTGGCTTTGTATTACCAACCTTGACTCCAATAATGTGTTATTTTTAAAGCTCTGAAAGTATTTACTCTAGTTCAATGTAAATATATTTTGAACAAGGAAATGTAAAATAAAGTTGTAGTGTTGTTAACTCTTGGTAACTTTTGATATTTTTTGAATATCACCTATTGTAATACCTGCGTAATTGTCTTAAGATAGAATGACAGTATAATCATTATTATGTACGATAACATTGCATATTATGTAAAAGCTCCTTATTTGCGGAGCATACGTTTTAAAATCATAATGACTCGTGAATATGGAAACTATGAATATTAAAATGGTGTTTTTATGAGAATATAGGGGTTAGTTCCTTAGGTACTATATTAATAAGTCCTAGTAATTTCTAAACTTATCTTTGGATTTCTTTATGAACCAAATAGAACCGCGCGTGTGTTGGCGGTGTACTTCCTTTTGTTCTATCGCTCGTCTAGCATACTCAGCATGGAATACCGGTATTTTAAGAATGCCTAAAATAGTTCTTAAATAGTGACAAATAGTGCCCAAAAAATTTGCTCTTATACTTAAAAAAACTGTAGATTTGGTCAGTATGCTAGGCTTACGTTACGCCCAACATCCTCACCTCTGTTTGGGAAATCTATATATCTATAAAATTCATATTTAAAAAAAAAACGCACCTGAGCCGAATACTGCTGTGGCTGGTAGGTGAGGATGACAGTCTGTTTGGTGACAGCTTTAGGCACGCCCGCAGCGCCGACCACTGTCGTCACCCCGGTGGTACCAGTAATTTGCGTAGCCAGCAATGGTAACTGATTGTTGTATGAATTTGTACTCTTTTTATCTGAAATTAAAACGCATGCCTAAGATACGTCTCGATAGCAGTTAACAACAGAGGAGCGCATCAAGACATTGATACACACAGTTATAAATAGCTCGATCTAGGGGCTTATTTCTTTCTGGCGTAACTTGATCTGTCTATTGGAAATCGCCTTCAAAAACTAAGACAAATGTGGATGTATGTGCTTAACTTATCACTTTTCCAATTATGAAATACCAGTGGCCCGCCCTCGCTTCGCTTCGGTGTAGAGCTGTAGTGTAAACTATAGTTTTTTTTCTCAGGCTTGTGCTATAAAGAATGACTTTATTTATATAATTACGCGTGTTATTGTGAGTCAACCATAAAAGATAGACATATGCTGTTGCGGGATATTTTTTAGACAATTTTATGTAGAATATTTCCGTCATACATGATTTCTATGTAACTTTAACCATTAAGGCTGCACCCGCGATGGAAGCTTAAAAAATGGAGTAACTTTTCCCGTTTTCCCAACATTTCCCTTTACTACTCTGCTGCTATTGATTGTAGCGTGATGAAAAGTATACTATAACCTGCCCAGGAGTATGAAGAATAATTGTACCAAGTTTCGTTAAAATCCGTTGAGTAGTTTTTGTTTCTATAAGGAACATACACACAGACAGACAGACAGACAAAAATTTTACTGATTGCATTTTTGGCATCAGTATCGATCACTAATGACCCCCTGATAGTTATTTTAAAAATATATTTCATGTACAGAATTGACATCTCTACAGATTTATTATAAGTATAGAAAAGACATTGGGGGATAAAAACTAAAATAATTAGACCCCTCTCATGAAGCTAAGCAACTTCCAGAGAGACCCATCCACTTGATGTGGTCATTAGGCAAAATAAATTGTAAGTTAATATTGCGTCTGCTGTCGTTAACACTTAATTTATAAAAATATTTCTGGTGTGTTTCAGGTGTTGTATGATATGAAATAGTTATTTGGCGGTTTATTGCTTAAAAAAAATGAGTGAAATTTTCGTAAGACGTGACTGTAGCTAATTTATGAGTGTTTACGTAGGTAGGTAGATGACAATTTCAGCAAACTTATCTTAATATTAAGCTTAGAATAGAAGAACACTTTATCTATAAAATTCTCCTAATTATTTATTACTAGTTTTTACGGGTTAATGCACGAAACTTTATTTATTTATTGACGTTTCGCAGCCTTTTCAGGTCTGCATCGTCAGAATGACGAAATTTCAAAAAATCGTTGAATGACGATGCAGACCTGAAAAGACTGCGAAACGTCAATAAATAAATAAAGTTTCGTGCATTAACCCGTAAAAACTAGTTTTATTTAATGAGTGATGTGCGTGAAAATCTAAGAAACAAATATATTTATTACTTTTTTATAATGGTTCGTGTGACAGTTTATTGCGTCTGGACTGTACCACCACTTAACATCAGGTAGGGTAGAGTCATTTGCCTACCAAGTAATAAAAAGCTAGCGGCCTCCCGCGACTTCGTACGCGTTACGTTATTCGTTGTTACAGAATGCGTTGAAGAAATAAAGGTTCACTGCTCACTCCCCATAGGTAATAGCGTGATAATATGTAGCCGATATGTTGACCCGACTTCTTAATAATATTAGTGTCAAATTTGAAGTAAATCCATGCAGAACTTTTTGAGTTTATCCCTGTATGTATGATACAGACAAACAGATAAAAATTCTAAAAACTAAATTTTTGGCTTCGGTATCGATTGTAATCACACCCTAAGTATTCTTATAATAAAATATTCAATGTACAGTTTTGACTTTCCTACCTTTATGTTATCTAATATATAAAATTCTCCTGTCACAATGTTAGTGACCACACTCCTCCGAAACGGCTTCACCGATTTTTATGAAATTTTATATGCATATTCAGTAGGTCTGAGAATTGGCTACTATCTATTTTTCATACCCCTAAGTGATAAGGGTTGTCCACCCCAAAAACATTTATTTTTTGGACATTTTTTTATAAGGTGGCTTTAAAAATAACGTACTTCCCTAATTTTTCCCCCTTCTACCACCTGCCCATATTTTTATGGCGGTACGAAGTTCGCTGGGTCAGGTAGTGTTTATATATCTATTCTCACCTAAAGCATTATTGTTGTACGCATGAGTGTCCTTGTCCTTTCCGTTGACACTGAACGCCTGCTCCGCCGCCACGCTTACGTCCGCCACCTTAGCCGTCTTAGCGTGGGGCTGCCTGAAACCGAACCTAAAGGATAAGAATACTCTCTGTCATTCACCATACTTCATCTGATGGCGATCTACAAGTATGGTTTGGGTTAGTAAATAATCTTCGGTCAATTCAGTATAATAATAAGTCAAACTTTAATGTTTTCGATAATTAAGTATCATAATTAATGCAAATATTAAAGCTTTACTATTTATAGATATTGAAAGGAAAAATACCGTTTATCATCGCCAATGTTGTTTGAAAAATAACTCCTAGTATAAAGTTTAAAGCAAATACTTGGAACGTATACTTTGCCAATGACGGTTAAACAGGGTATGATTTGTTTGTTACAGTAATCTTTTCCACATAATCTTCTATCAGTTTCCCAGTTCTTAAATTAAAATTAATATAAATCAATACTAAATAAAATAGAAATAATATATATTTTGGGTAAAGTACATAACTACAATACCATTTTTATGTAGTTAGGTGCGTTAGGTATTACTTATATAATCTTACCAAATTGTATCTTATCCTATTGTATAGTTTACAAATCTTCATAAAAATTTAAATATGAGTAATGCAATGCATAAAGAAATTACAAAATTTCGTTTGAATTAAAACAAACTACGATCATTTTTCTCAAATACACATACAGTAGGAAAGTATTTTATTTATAAGAAAAAATATTACCAATACAGCACCTATAATATTATATTAAAGTGTATAGTGCAAACTTATTCGTTTTAGAAACAAAAAATACGTAATAATTTGTAATTTAAAGTACTAATTTGACGTTACTACTATGCTTCATTTACTTTACATATTATGTAGTACCTACTCATTTACCTGTTAGTTCTTAGCGGTTGGCCGGCCGTTTCCTTGCGCGGGCGCGCCAGGGGAGTTGACCGCCCCGACAGAACATCCTCCACACGCAAATCCTCAGTGGAACCTGTTTGAGTAATTCCCCTCGTGTTCATTATGAATTCCCTCTACAATTATTGATAGTTGAAGTAAGTACCTACCTAAATCCCATCTCTTGAGTTACTATATTATTGGTTCATGCCATGGAGTTACATTAGGTGTATGTAATATTGTGAAAATGGCACAAAATTGTAAAAGCTGTTTTAATTCCTATCGTCTGTCCCAACTTCTAGACATATTGCTGCCGATTTCTTTGTAGAATATTCGACTAAAATGGCCGCACTAGCCATTACAAGGTTAAAGAATTTATACTGAGTATAAGATCCACGCACTAGATTACGCTACTAGTTTAATTAAAATAGTAGCTCTAAAGATGTCTTTTTGTTATCCGATATTCAACCTTAGATGGGTTCCTAATCAGCAATAAAAAATGATCAACTTAGTATAGATGGATTCAGTAACTTATAGAGCGAAAGTCTTGTTTCTAAAAAAATTAAGGATGTGAAATAGAAAATGAAAGTACGAGAAACGAATTACTCTGTTCTGACTGACGGCCAGTTTTAATTAATTACTCTGTCAATCCGTACAGGTAAGGATTATCTGGAGAATACTTTTGTTAGCAAGAGTTGTGATTTATAGGTAGGGCTGCCATCCGTCCGGGTTTCCCCGGATTTGTCCTAGTTTACGGGGCGTCCGGGGAGCGTCCGGGCGGGGTTTCATTTGTAGTCCGGGTTTAAAAATTTCCTGTTTTAGGTCGCCAATTAATCCGTCAATTTAAATGTCTTTGAAAATTAATAAATCTATTCTAACATTGTAATCATAAATGCTGACTTCCAACAAAGATCAGCTTTGTCGTCCACACTGTCCGCAATAACAGCATTCGTTGCACTGAAACTTTTTACACTGGCCGGTCAAACATCCCTCGGATGGAAGAAGAAGGGTGTAAAGACAAACTTGTGTCCGAGATTGAGATGTTACTGGATCAAGTCTCAAATTGGAGCCAACAAAATTTGATTGGATTAACCCAGCAAAGACACAAGTGTGTGTGAAATAGGCTGTGTGTTCAAAAGAAATTGTAAGTACCTCAAGCCTAAATATCGGGTGTTAGTTTACAAAGCACTGGTCCTCTGAGCTGGAGCACCCCAATACTAGCTCCTTTCTCTTGACCGGATACAAAAACGGGCAGTTAAACATATTGATAATCCTGAGTTCACTCGCGCGTTGCAACCCCTTAGCATTCACAGACGGTACAACACGTAAAAGGACGCAACTCCTTCTACATGTCGTACCGTCTATACAATCAATGGGGAGTGTTCCGAGGAATTATTCAACCGGATGCCAATGGCCAAGTTTCTTCACAGCACCACACACCGCAGAGAAGTTTCACGCCCACCATCTGGACGGCTGGCGTTCGAGCACCATGTGTTCCTTTCTTTTGCGTACCAGCAAAATCTAGAACGAACTTACCTCAGTATTTTTTTCTTATAGCTATGATATGGTAATCTTAAAAAGGCGGAAGAACCTTTTCGTTCAGAGCCGGCAACGCATGAGTGGCCCTTGGTGCTGCAAGTGTCCATGGGCATCAGTGACCACTTATTATGAGGTAGATCGCTAACTCTTTTGCTTACACATAAAAAAAGTTGATTTGTGACATTTTTAACTGTTTTTTTTATTGGTCTGTCCGGGTTCTGGGCTCCAAAATCCGGGGTTATCACGCGTCTTATCCTGGTTGCTACATTTTAGAGATGGCAGCCCTATTTATAGGTAATGTAAGGCACACTTGCACCAAAATCCTTAATTCAAAGTAAGGTTTAATCGTGTTTTAAACATCATTCCATATTTGTATATGTTCAAAGTGAAATAGAGATACAATAAGGCTTTAACATTGATGCAAGTGGGCCTTAATCAAAGATCTTAATATTAATAAAAATGGAGTTTGAATATTCAAACTGAAAGGTAGTCGCGGACAATACCTGATATAAAATTACAGTAGAACGCCGATTATCCGAATTAATTGGGACCGGGGTCGATTCGGATAATCGGACGTAGACTGGTAATAAAGAAAAACGAACTGTCACATATAGAATTAATCTTATTAAGTTTATCAAACACAGTTCTACAATACTAAATACAATATTAGAGATACAATAATACATAGTAGCAAAAAAAACCGAGCGACGCAAAACATGTAGTGTCTCGCCTCTAGCTTTCAACCCTAAGGCGCTTTGCAGACGACGGGGCGGGGCGGGCTTTTTGTCCGCGAAGAAATAAAGACCGCGTCTGCCCGTCGATGTCTGCGGTTGCCCGCGCCGCGTACACAAAGCACACGACGGGCAGAGGCAGTCAGTTCAGGACGTTCGTTCTAGTGAATAGTCCATCACTAAAAAGCGCGTGGCGCGGACTGAGCTAGCCGCCCCGCGCCGCCGTCTGCGTTATTGCATATAAACTGATTTGTATGATCCACGACGGGCAGCTGGGACATGCCGCGCCGCCACTGCCCGTCGGGCACCTGCGGCGCAGTCTTTTTGCCCTCTGTGTGCGTTTGAAGTATAGGATTCACTTTGTGCTATTCGCGGCGAAATTGACCGGCCCGCCCCGCCCCGTCGTCTGCAAAGCGCCTAACAGTTAAAATATATCTGGACTCCAGCGAATTCCAACTTGTTACAACAAAAGAAAACAAAAAAACTTGGTATTAATTTTTTATATTACGCTTAGGGCCGATTCGGATAATTGGCGATTCGGTTAATCGGCGTTCTACTGTATCAACAGTCGCACCTGCATTTCCGTTTTTATCCTGAGACTTCTTCCGGCGCGCGTTGTCGTCCGCCCTTGAGGTGCTGGCCGGACGCCGTCGAAACCCGAAGGAGGTGGCGACACCTCGCGTCGGCTTTGTATTACCGTTCCCGCTTACACTCTTGTCCCGTTTCTTTGCTCCTTTCGACTCAGAGTGTCCCTGAGGAAGAAAATCATATGTCAAATACGTAACTTTATACCATATACTCCATTAAAAAATTGACTCTCCCTAATACAAGTAACAAGTTGCTAGAACAATGATTCCGATACTGTTTAATAATATTTTGTTTACTTTCAATGGTGTCAATTCTGGCGTGATTCTCTAAACTTAAACTTAAATTTAACATCAGTCTCTCCCTTTCATTCTGTATAGAGCATGACAAGGATACACTGTTGTCAAATTTAAGTTTAGGTTTAGAGAATCATGGTAGAATCGACATCAATATCTCAAAATAAAAACAGCAGTTTGCCGGTTTCCATGTATTTTTTGGTTCCCAGTCCAGCAAGTTACTATTATAATTACTTACTACGCTTTGATTTTTGAAAACTGACAGATTTTTGCCACCCAATTTTTTTTTATTAAGCAATTGAAATGACTAATTAACTATTAAGCAATGTGTGACCATAAAATACTATTTATTTTGTATTTATTCCTGTTGCTTTTCTCATGTTACATTGAAAAAATATGGTAAAACATAAGCCTTCGGAAAAATACTAGATCCTTCATGCTGCACACAGTTTGTTTCATAGAATAGATAAATACAGTATTTTTCACATATATTTATGAGGTCATCACTTATGCTAAAAATAAGTAAGTCCTTTAGGGATAACCATTCATTTGAAATTTTGTGGAAATGGCACGTCTGTTAAGCTAGTATGGCAAAGGGAGCAGAATCGTTTAAAATAAAGTGCATCAATTAGTGCTTATTTAGTGCTAATTTAGTGCCAAAACCGGAAATTTAATGCGCTCATAGTTTAGCGAAAAATTAGAACACTGCCAGCTTTTAATTAAGCTAGCAGTGTATTCCCTGAAACGCCTATATTAACGCGGTATAGAACTAAAGTAATGCATAAGGAATTTAGTGCTTAATGAGTGCTGGCAGTATATGATGAAAATTTTGGAAAATAAAAAATATTTTATTTTTTATGAATAAAAACTGCTAGTATGACAGTCTGAGCAAGTTACCGGTTCGAATACATTGTATCACTCTGGATCGAAGATCTATGATAATCAACGGTTAATAATTTAGTGCTCAATGAGTGCTGGCAGTATGTGATAAAAAATTAGGAAATTTTATTTTTTTAAATTTTTTATTAATAAAAACTGCTAGTTTGACAATCTGAGCAAGTGACAGGGTTGAATACATCACTCTGGATCGAAGATCTATGATAATCAACGGTTAATAATTTAGTGCTCAATGAGTGCTGCCAGTATGTGATAAAAAAATTAGGATTTTTTTTTTAATTTTTTATCAATATATACTGCTAGTATGACAGTCTGAGCAAGTGACCGGGTTGAATACATCACTCTGGATCGAAGATTTATGATAGTCAACGGTTAATAATTTAGTGCTCAATGAGTGCTGCTAGGATGTGATAAAAAATTAGGAAATATTTTTTTTTTAATTTTTTATCAATATAAACTGCTAGTATGACAGTCTGAGCAAGTGACCGGTTCGAATACATCACTCTGGATCGAAGATCTATGATAATCAACGGTTAATAATTTAGTGCTCAATGAGTGCTGCCAGTATGTGATAAAAAATTACGTGATTTTAATTTTTTATCAATATAAACTGCTAGTATGACAGTCTGAGCAAGTGACCGGGTTGAATACATCACTCTGGATCGAAGATCTATGATAATCAACGGTTAATAATTTAGTGCTCAATGAGTTTTTTTTTTAATTTTTTAACAATAAAAACTGCTAGTATGATAGTCTGAGCAAGTCACCGGGTTGAATACATCGCTCTCGATCGAAGATCTAGGATAATCAACGGTTAATAATTTAGTGCTCAATGAGTCACTTGCTCAGACTGTCATACTAGCAGTTTATATTGATAAAAAATAAAAAAATCCAAATGTTTTATCACATACTAGCAGCACTCATTGAGCACTAAATTATTAACCGTTGATTATCATAGATCTTCGATCGAGAGTGATGTATTCAACCCTGTCACTTGCTCAGACTGTCAAACTAGCAGTTTTTATTAATAAAAAATAAAAAAATCCAAATGTTTTATCACATACTAGCAGCACTCATTGAGCACTAAATTATTAACCGTTGATTATCATAGATCATAGATCCAGAGTGATGTATTCAACCCTGTCACTTGCTCAGATTGTCAAACTAGCAGTTTTTATTAATAAAAAATTAAAAAAAAAAATTTCCTAATTTTTTATCACATACTGCCAGCACTCATTGAGCACTAAATTATTAACCGTTGATTATCATAGATCTTCGATCCAGAGTGATACAATGTATTCGAACCGGTAACTTGCTCAGACTGTCATACTAGCAGTTTTTATTCATAAAAAATAAAATATTTTTTATTTTCCAAAATTTTCATCAGATACTGCCAGCACTCATTAAGCACTAAATTCCCTATGCATTGCTTTAGTTCTATACCGCGTTAATATAGGCGTTTCAGGGAATACACTGCTAGCTTAATTAAAAGCTGGCAGTGTTCTAATTTTTCGCTAAACTATGAGAGCATTAAATTTCCGGTTTTGGCACTAAATTAGCACTAAATAAGCACTAATTAATGCACTTTATTTTAAACGATTCTGCTCACTTTGCCATGCTAGCTTAACAGACGTGGAAAACAGCAAAGGTTTTATTTATCGTATTTTCCAAAAAAAATCGAAAGTGTTATCTTATTTTTATCATAACTTCCTCAATTTTGATACTTTTAACTTTTTACTGTGCTCATTAGAAAGATATGTCCAACGACTTTAAAAAGTGTTTAGGAAGTATATGTCATAAAATGCATTGGTTTCCCGTTATTAAGGTTAAAAAATATACATACAATTTCCTGTAGCTCACTTTGAATTAATATTAGAAGGTTTTTCAAAGTAGGGGTTTGTTTGTTTTTTTATTAGCCTTAATTTTGGTAATAATACATTTTTTGTAAAAACTCATAGTTTTTGAGTTATTTATAAAAACCGCTTTAAAACATAGTATTTTTATCACGAAAAATCACAATCTTTGGTCTTTAATAACTCAAAGAGTATTGATTTATTCCCAAATCTTTATATAACAAATTTTGCTTAGAATTTATTTTTCTATCGATTTCTCTAGTTATTTTATTAAAATAATTTTCACCCCCCGGGAAGAGGTGGTATCTACCCCCAGGGCAAAAACGCATGTTGGCACTATGTCACTTTTATTTCTTAAGGTATTCCCCACCTAATCACCAATTTTCATGAAAATCGATGGAGGTTCAACGAAATCGGAGGTTGTAGCTGATTTTTGCCTTCATTGACTGGACTAACAAAAATTATAAAGAAATTCCTGATATTTTCCTTCGATATTAGTTTTGCAAAAAATATTACTTTATTATTTTGTTAATAAAAATGAGCGTCTCAAATTTTGATAACACATCACCAGATATTACTAATGTAACAAAGGGCATTTTCAACCAATTACTACAGGAAAAATCAAGAAAACAGTATGAAAAAGATAAAATTTAATGGATTGGAAAATATCAAAGAGTAAATACATATAGAGGATTCAAATTCATATCATGGGTGTAGATATAGTCTTGTATACAACTGTGTTTATTATTAGGTATTAATACACTGATGCGATATTATTATCTTATTCGGCTTCGCCTCGTGTGATAAAACCACATTCGTGTTTTAATACCCCTCACTATACAAAAACAGTTGCATAAATAACTATTATATTATTTACGTTCATGTGATATCCAGAAGATAGCCGTTGTCGTAGTTATCATCTAGGTACATACACCCTGATGAAATCAAATCTCTAAAAGCTAGAAATACTTTGAAATTCATAAAAGTTATCGAGCTTTAAGAGATATTATAATTTAGTGGGGAGTAACAAAAATTATATTCGCACTTGGTATTCGGCATCAACTATGTTCAATATCGCTGTTCAGTATCCATAATCTAATTTGTTACAAGTAAAGATTTGTTTAAGTAATAACAAAGTTCCTATTTTTACTACGCCTTTTTCTTGAGATTTTAGATGACGTAATAGAAGCTTTTACAGTAACCTCAGTTCATCTTTTTAAAATTCTTTAGTTTTCTTACTAAAATAACTAAGTATTAATAATTTAGTGCATGAAATTTGCATTGTTGAAATGATAGTTGTAGAAAACAGGAATTGTCATAACTCTACATTAAAGTTTTTAGGGATCTGTAGTTAAAAAAAACGATAGCCACAACAATGATTAAATCCCTTGCTGATCGTTAGTCAAGGCTCTTTTTTTTTAGGAACTAACACTGGATTCCCATGATGAACGTACTGCTTTCTTAATTAAAAGTTTGTATGAAACCCTCGGTGAACGAACCAGACTTGCACGTACTAATTTTTTTTTTAATTAATAACCTTTTTAAGTTGTTTTAAAGTAGCTGAATTACTGTTTCAGTATAAAGAATTTCGCTAACAACCTTTTCAATATTTTTATTGCTTGGCTCTGATTTCCATAGTAGGTACAAAGTGCTTCATTATTATAGCAAGTTTGTCATCTTGTTCAATACAATTTAAAGGCATCCTAGCAGTTACCATCGGTTTCATGAGCCTCCGGAAGCCTCCTAGTGAGATACAATTTATAAGCTCTTAGCTGTGCAATAACTATCATTCGTTCTGCATGTAGATATTTTTGTATTTTTCAACCATATTTAAGAGAGATATCAATCACAGCTGGTTTTTCGCTCGGATTTAAGCTTCCGTCTGGAAAAGTATCTGTTCCTTTCATAAAGATAAAAAATACACTACATTTTGATTTTGTCGTATTTCTGCTGGTAAATAACGTTTCAAAACTTTATGCTGTAAGGTATTGGCTTCCTACAGGCTATTAAGGGAAGATGGCTAGAGCGGCACACTTTTCTGTCGGTTCAGCTATACACAGTCAGGTCATAAGTATTGTCACACAGTAAAAACTTTTCTTTTAGAATGCTGGGCACAAAAAA